TGTTCACATGAAGTCACTGCATGGGAACAAGTCACATCCTTAATGCGAGATTACAGTGCAGCAACCTGCAATTCTCAAACACGCCGGCTCCTCTAAACAGTCATTATGGTGCAAACAATACAGTCATTTCATCCCCTTCACCAGCGAAGCAGAGTGCATTCAGGGGAAGCTTGTGGGCCTCGCTCTCAGACCTGTTCCCACTTTAGCTTGGTGGGTGTCCTGTGCTGCTGTGTGCAGTGAACCCCTTCTCACACACACCTCGGGGATAATAGGCTCTAGTAACTTAGTACATACCATATCCTGCCTTCTAGAGCCCGTGTCCCTCCTCTGAGGCTGCCTTCAAGGGCGTTTCAGAGCCAGGGTCATAGTAAGCTGATGTTCTACCTAAGATCAAAGTATGAAGCATTCATTTCAGACCTTTTAGAATAATACAGCATGGATGTGAATTCAGTTAGGAAACAATAAAAACACGAGTCCGTTTGAACCTGAAACCATCAGCTCACCAGCCTTCTGCACATTTACGTTGTGTGTGTGTGTGAAATCACTCAGCAGCGTGCTGCCCTCTGGCTTTCTTCAGCTATGTGCATTTGTTTGAATATAAACATTTGTGTGTAGGTATGATTGGTCAGGATTGTGCACATGCTGGTTTTGACCTTTAAATATCACCTCAAGGACAAGATGAGTCATACTGAGCCACCAACACTGTCCGGCTCTGTGACACTATCATGATGGAAAGACCTGCCTGACCTCTTGCTCAAAGTCAGGTCCCTTACTCTTTCTCCTTGTCCCGACACTATCACCCTGCCCACACACTGATGTTTATGGAGGGCTGATGGGGAGGTAAGCCTGCTTTGGACAACAAAACCTCCTCATGGTTAATCAATGCTAACCACCGCGTACAGAGATGATCAGGGCTTTAACAAACTCTGGCTTTAAGCCTAAACTTTGATGTAGAAAACCCAAAGTAATCAGAGTTCAGAGTTCAGCCACCTCTGAAACAATAATACAAACTAATAAAAAGCCACGATCAATGGATCAAGGAAATATGGGAAGAGGAGAGCTTTGGTCTGAGTCCACTGGAGCAAAGAAATCTGAATGCCTGCCAATGCTGAGCGTGATATTTATCTTAAGAGGAGTGGAGAAAGAAGTCGTTGCTATCTAACTCTTTCATCATTTAGCCTATTTTCCTTAAGAGATGATAAAGCCACAGTCTTGCTGGACTCCTCCTTATCTTAGATTTGTTTTTAAAATCTGCTCAATCAGCTGTAACCTGGCAGGAACTGGTGATGCTCGCTGACAAATATGTGTAAACAATATGAGCCAGTCCTGAAAAGTAGGACTTCAATTTTAATTATCAGTCATTACCTTGTGTATTTATAAAAGACTCTACAATAATACAGAGAAACCCCAACAATTAGTGTGCACTTGGTGACAGTGCATGATGCTAGCTAGTGAAAGAGTTGCTTCAGTGCATCCTGTCACAAGACAAGAAGAAAAATATTTGCTTTTAATCAGTCTCGTGTGTCTAAAGCTCGACGTTTTTTCTGTGCAGTGATTATCAGATTGATGTGGAGTCACAGACGGCACGGACACTGTAACGTTATAGAACAACAGATCTTTGATGCTGCTATGAGGACATCTCGGTCCCGGATTTGTATGTCATGAAACATTTAGCAGATGTGCAGGGAGAGACCAGGAGGAGATGTTACCAATGTGCTGCACCAGCCAGGTTCTATTTGTAAGGGAAAAGCTACTAAAAGCTTGCATGTGCAAAAGGACTTGGCCTGGGTACAGAGTCTGTGTGATGAGGGTTACTCAGACCGTGGCTCACACTGGTGAGGTGGGTGGGGTTGTGGAGTGTTTGTTGGCAGTCTGAATGGTCCAGGGGAAGAAGCTGTCAGGGAGTCTGGAGGTGTGGGACCTAACTGATCTGAGAGGGCAACCAGAGGGCAGCGGATCAAGGGGTCAGCTCGGATGGTCCTGGTTTTTCTGAGAATGGAGGATCTGGCGATGGCCTCCAGGGATGGCAAATTACCCTCTGTGCAGCCTTCCTGTTCTCAGTAGTGGCGCCTGCATACCAAACACCCGGGCAGAGGGAGAGCCGCTCTCCACTGAGGAGCGGTAGAAAGCCAGCAGCTGCTGCCGGTACAGGTTGTTCTTCCTCAGGACACAGAGGAAGTGCAGTAACTGCTGTGCCCTCTTTCCCAGGACGGTGTTGTGGGTCCAGGTGAGATTGATGGAGATCTGGGTGCCCAGAAACCTGAAGGTGGAGACAGATTCCAGCCCTTTTCCACTTATAAAAAGAGGGGAGTGGAGCTGTCTGTGCCTCCTGAAGTCCGTCACGAGGTCTCTTGTTTTAAGAACGTTCAACTTCAGGTCCAGTGGGACAAGTTCTCCACCTCTGCTCTGTTTCATCTCCATCACAGATGAGCCCGACCACGGTGGTGCTATGGGCTTGGCGATGATGTTGGTTGCATGGGTTGGTGTACAGTCATGTGTGTACAGGGTGCAAAGTAGGGGCTGAGAACGCAGGTGGGGGAGGGAGGTGGGGGCTGAGTCAGGCTGATGAGCCTCTGTGTCGTCACCTCACAGAATATTCTTGTTTTGGGGATCATCTAGAATGTGAGAAAAGCCTTTTGGTCAGCAGTGGTTTCTCCTTGAGGTTATTTTTGCCCAGTCTCTTTCTTATTGTTCAATCATGACCTCTGACCTTTACATGTGAACCTGCACTTCTTTAGATGCTGTTCTGGGCTTTTTCTTGACCTCCTGGGTGAGTGATTGATGTGCTCTTGGAGTCATTTTGGTAGGCTGGCCAATCCTGGGAAGGTTCACCACTGTTCCAAGTTTTCCCCATTTGTGAATTATGGCTCTCAAGTGTCAATATCTGCTGATATCAGCCTTCCAACAGTTCATTCATGATTTGCTGAGCTTTTCTCCCTTTATCAATAAATCGTCATTTAAACTGCTTTTTGTGTTTACTCCGGTTACACCTTTTTGCACCACTGTAAAAGCCTTTGGTGATTTTAGGTGACTGTGTCCATGAGCTGAAGGCACATGTGATGTTCACACTGGGCACAGTAAGCCGG